GTCACCGCTCCCCACAGGCTTGCCTGTCTGTTGCTGCCTACTGTACAGCTTGCGCCACAGAAATGATGTGATAATGCTAAAAACCAATTTGGCACTTCCCACACAAGGGGATGAGTGTGCTTCCCCACCCTGGAAATGCAGCCTCCAGCTGTCTTGCCCTATGCCAGAGGTTTCTTAATACCCTGGAATTAGCTGACTAAGAGATGAGGCAGACTAAAGGAGCATTTGCTATCTGTTCAGGCTGCCTAAGCTTTCCATCAAATAAACCCCAGTCTGATTCTCAGCCCTCTGGGAAGGGTTGCCCACAGCTAACATTTGCTACCCCAAATAACCCCGAGGTGACCTTCTCACTGCAAAGCTGCAGCCAAGAAAAACCCTGTTTAACATAACAGTGCACAGCTTAGAACATCAACTTGAACCCTTCTGACCTCTGAGCCGTTGGGGTCTATACAAATTAATTTAACAATAGACAGTGTTGAAAGGGAGGAATGTTTCAAAGGAATAATAATAATTAAAAAAAAAAAAAATCTCCCTCATCCATCTCTTCTCATTTAAGAAATAGTCAGGAGGCCTACTTCAGAAAAATTAGAAGTGCTCCTTGTTGCCAAACAATAGGCTGTACACAGGGAGGGGGTATCTTGCATCTTAGTGTGGTGAAATAAAATTTCCCATCAGTGGGTGCTGCTTTTGGAAAATCGGCCTTTAATTTCCAATGGAGAGTTGATTTTTTTTCCTGGGATACTTTGAAGATACCCTTGGGGTTTGCCTTTATTTTCCATAGATGATTTTAGTACTTCTGTTAAGCAAACACGTAAGTCTCTCCTCTCTTACCACTGTGCTGATTTGTGCCTTGCCTCATGCTTTCCGTAGCTTATGTGCAAGCAGCCTGAAACATCTCTAACCATATTGCAGCTGGGGCTTAAACTAGCTGATGATTGAAAGAGGCCAGCAGAAAGGAGATTTGTAATGAAGTCTTTAGATGCTGGGGCAAAAGATGCTTTTTAATGTGTTTTATTGCTTCTGCTGAATGGGAAACTGGGTTGGGTTAAGTCTTGGGGTTTTTCCCCCAGTTCAGGCTTGCACCTCTGGTCTTCTTTAGGTTGAACTTTGACTTCAGCATTGTCATTGTTGGTAAGCAGGGAGGATTACTGAGGCAGGGGTGTTGAAGTTGGAGACAAGAAACAACACGAACAATAATTTTAAAATTTCTGTATAGATTTGCTTTGACAGCTTGAAAGCTGTATGATGAGCACAGATGAGAGAGATGGAGGTTTATTCCTGAAAGATCCAGTGGACTTCAGTAATTGCATTCACGAAACCACCTGTTTTTCTTCAGTCAGCCAGTGCCACTCATTACGATTGTCATTTCTGGTTTCCTACACAAACACATTTCTATTTGCAGCGGAGATCCAGTGCCTTCGTGAACACACACCCCAGGTGATGCTGGGGGAGACCCCTGCTGAGTAGCAGAGGGGTCTGCTGCCGGCGGGAGGGGGGAGTGTGAGGAGGGGCTGCCCTCTCCTTCCAGACATTGCCAAAAGCAGCCACGGTGAGGTGTGAGAAGCCGCAGAGGCTGGGGAGGGGGGGGAGCTGACTTGATGTTTTGTGCAGAGGGAGATAAGATAAACTGATATTTCTTTGGGCTTACTGCAGCTTTCCACTCACAGCCTTCAAGATCCTATGAGGTTGTAGGGGTCCTCTTGCAACTAATACAGTAATGACCTTGAATTCGCTTCCAGCTCAGCTGTACTGCTGGAGGACAAGGCTTTTCTTGTGAGCAAAAAAACATTAAAGCAGCACAGAGATTTGCCTGCATAGCTCCGGTCTTCAAGAGATTTGAGTATCCTTTTTGAGGCCCCACTTGCAACAAGGGATTGTAGATAAGCTCCTGCGGTAGTTAATGGGTAAAGTTTTTCTGATTTATTCTCACTGGTGTCGCTCCTTTTACTTGCAGCATTGGCAAATATACTGGTGTATGCTGATATTTTATTTTATGTAGATAATTTTTCGCTGAATGATAAAGGTAATCCTGTACTTGCTCACATGTGCATGCCAACTGATACAAATGTTCTGTATGACTCTCTAAGTGTTTGGGGAAAAAAATTATTTGCCTTGATTGAAAAATAATTAATAATGAAACTCATTCCTTTTTCAGATTGCAACCTGAATGTCAAATTTAGGAGTCCAGACTAATTCTTCATGCTGAGGCAGTCTGCTACACCAAGCACACGTTATCGCAGACAATTAGAAACTTTCATATTTGTATACCTGAATTAAGACTAAACCCTTTCTGTTTCTTGTAAATTCCTAGTGATAAGATAAAACAAAACACAGACAACTGGAGAAAAACATGTGATTTTGATATGGGTTATGTTTAAATTATGGTTAGACTTATTGCCTGAGTTGGTGGAAAATATTAGGGACTTCTTCCTTTATAGCTTCTACTTCCTGCAAGCTTGTCTTTTTAAAAAAGATTCTGAAAGATGCTTCCTTTGCTGATCCTCTAAGAAATGTATATTCAGCAGGAGAAACATCTGACTGAGCAAAGACTAACTTACACAGTGGTTTGGAAGCCACGTGCTGAAAAGTGCTGGGGAAACACAGCAGGGAAAATGATAAAAAGGGATGAAAGCAGTTCAGACAGGCGAAGAATGCTGCTTTAAAAATGCAAAACATCTGAACGCTGATGAGTGGGCAGGTTGCAATAACTTGAGGGCAGACCTAAGTTGCACAACAGTCATATACTGAAAGTAGACTCCCACAAGACATAGCCTGTAGTGATTTAAAATTGGAAGTGGAGGGGGGGGAAGCGTTGAGGTACTGCAGGGAACAATCTTGCAGCAGCAGAATGCAACTGGGAAATGGGTCACTTGGAGTAATAGCTTTTTCTTTCCTTGTGGTTTGTGTGAGCTGAGCCAAACATGTGAGGAGCACAGTGTTATTGTACTCATGAATTTTATTGTATTTTTTTTTTGATATATTAGAAATTAAGTTTGTTCACCCAGTTGCGACACTGAATCTTCTCTCTATCTGTACAATGCCTTCAGTCCTAAAGTTAGCTTTATTTATTTATTTATTGTTCTAGGCTTTGCTTAGAGTATTAAAATAGCCCATGTTTAGAAATGTGATTCTGTGGCCTCGCATTCCAGGGGGGTCAGCAGAATCGCTTGTCTGAAGTATCTTTGCTCATAGCACCTACGGTTTGTTCTCGCCTCTGTGTTGTGGTAGGCGATCTTTTCATCTGTGCTGGAACAACTGTGTGTGTGTCACTAGGCTGAAATGGATAAAGGGACTGACCCAGTTTAAAAAATAAAAAAAGCAACCTTTAATACACATTCCTCCACATCCCTACCCCTGTGGTATCAGTGTATCAGGACGAACGGTCCAGTTTATAATATGCCAGCTCAGTAGACAGATGCTGGTAGATGCAAAGGGCAGGGGTAAGGAGAGTGTCTTGCACCAGTGGTACTGCTGGCTTCCTTTTAATGTGAAAACAGCCTCAGCTGCAGCTTTGTTCTAAGCTTGGCACTCAGCTTTGACATACTCAAATAATAGTGTCTGGCGACTATTTGGTCCCTCCTGACCATCAGGTGTAACTAGCCAGTGTGTTATCAGAGGTGTGTAAGCTGTATGGTGTTCAGATGCGGTTTAGTGGGATGCAGGCTCCTGTGGCACAGGCTGCTAGCGAAATCATAGCCTGCCTCTGCTCCGTTTCCTCTTTTCTGACCACACCTAAGGCTTTAAAGTGCCATGGTTAAGTGATTATTGAAGCAAATGGGGTTAGGAACAGAACTCCAGAAAAAGGGGCTTATTTTTAATCCAGATCAAGTGAGTGATCTGTCACTAAATAGTACCTGGAGTTAGTTTCACTGCAGTGTTGACTTAGGCTGAAGATTAGTATGGTGTGGGGAGGTGAATGATAAGTCTTGTGCTAAGGGAGGGCTGGACTTTCTTCAGCTGACTTTTCTACCAAAGTCCACACCAACTAATGACACAATTGAGTTTTTGTAAGGGCATGGTGTGCGTGATGGCCCAGCAATGTGTTAGTGTATTTTCATTGGAAAAAAGCCCCTTCAGTCAGACTTCATTTTGGTTTGGACAATGTGTCCCTCCATTAATACACAAGCTGTCCAAAATTCCCAGGTATTAGTAGAGCACAGATTTCAAGTCTAGGACTAACATTCCTCCCCCATTCCCTCCTTATGTAAATATCCATCGTTACCCTAAAGGCATGTATTTAGTTGGCTGTGCCAGTTGTCACCCTTTTTGGAAAACACGAACTCCTCATGCCTGAATGTGCAGAACTACTTCGTGTCACCTCAGGGCATGTGCAGCATCCAAGCAGAGCATCTGAACAGACCTCTTATTCAGGTCTGATCCTGGATTGTGCTCCCCAGCAAGTGATTTGGCCACTGAGGCTGTGTCAGTTCATATCAGATAAAGAAAACAAAAGACTCCTCCCTGACCTGCCAGCATGATGCTCTCCCCCTGTTGCCACTTGTTGATATCCATTGAGCACTGTCTCATCAGGGATCTGGGCAGAGGAGGACTGTCCAGATGAGTTTGTGCTCTCTACTTGGTGCCTTTGAGCACAGGCTGTCTTGCTCGCATTCTCACTGTGCAAGGACTTTTCATGGTGAAAGAGAAGCAGCTGATATTCTCCCTACTGCATACAGACAGACATGGGTTTTGCTTTTGCTCTCATAACTCTGTACAGCCGAAGCAGGCAGGCACATGATCTCCCTGAAGGCAGGATCCAGTGTTACTGTAGAAACTGGCCACCAGCTTCTTTTGTAGCTAGCAGCTGTCACTGTGTGGTTACAGCCAAAGCGTGTCACTCCTACAGTGTCTGCAGGCTCCAGAGTTTGTTTCTGCTTCTGAATGCACCGTGCTACAGCTTAGAGATTAATTCTGCAGCTCCTATCAAAGCCTCTTAAGATATTTCTGAATTGTATCTATTTTTAGAACCATTCCTGATTAATATTTGATGTTCTTTCCAGGTTTCATTTTCCTTCACCAATACTTCAAGGCACAGAGGAGCTGGTAAAGGCACTGCCATGAAACCGAACTTGAAGCAATGGAAACAACTCATGCTGTTTGGGATCTTTGCCTGGGGTCTGCTTTTTCTGGTGATCTTCATCTATTTTACAGATAGCAATACTGCTGAGCCCGTTCCCAGTTCTTTTTCTTATATTGAAACTAAGAGGCTTCTGCCCCTACAGGGCAAGCAGAGAGTCATAATGGGAGCCATACATGATCCATCATTCTCTGAAACCATCGATGGGAATGAGGTACTACTTAATGAAGACCTTTTAGGTACATTTAAATCAGGGACTGGAAGTATTAAGAAATGGACTGATTTGGAAGATGCCTTTAGAAGTGAAGATGAATATTTTCCATCCCAATTAGGAAGAAAATCAAAAAGTGCTTTCTACCAAGTGAATGATGATTATTTATTTGCTGCTGGTCAGCCTCGGTCACACAGCAACCTTCAAGAGATAGCAAAATTCATCTCAGCCGATGAGGATAATCTGAAAGAAAATATTTTGCAGAACAACTGGGGCAATCAGAGAAGAATGAGGAGAAGGAGCGCAAAGCACAGGAGAAGCCAGATGCTTGATGAATCTGATGACTGGGATGGGCTGTATTCCACGATGTCGAAATCCTTTCTTTACAAGCTTTGGAAAGGGGATGTCTCTTCCAAGATGCTAAACCCTCGACTGCAGAAGGCGATGAAAGATTATTTGAGCACTAATAAGCATGGGGTGCGGTTCAAAGGGAAACGAAACTCTAAGTTAACAGGCGACCAGCTTTTCTGTGAGCTAAAAGAAAGGGTGAATGTGAAAACAATAGATGGCAAGGAGGCTCCCTTCTCCACTCTTGGATGGGAGAAGCACGTTCCCCAAATTCCACTGGGCAAATTGTATACACATGGCTTTGGGAGTTGTGCTGTAGTTATGTCTGCTGGTGCAATACTGAACTCCTCTCTAGGGGATGAAATAGGTGGGTGAAATGTACCTCTTCATGTGCATATGCATATACACGTACATATTCATGTTTGTCTTTCAAAGGATTCATTCTTCTCAAGTGTAGGTCTGTAAAGGGTCTGGTTATTCTCTCATCAACGTTTTGTGAGTGTGAACTTACAGACCTCACTGAAGCTGTTCCCTTTCAGAGCAATATAACTGAAAGGCAAATCTGGCCTGAAGTCATAATTTGATTTGAAGAAAACAACGATGCCTTCTTAGCATATTACAGTTTGTAGTATAAAAAAGATATTAGTTTCAACAGATCTGCCATATTTGGCATTTTTCTGCAAAGTGTGTTTATTGCTTCAGCAGATTAGAGGCATAGTCAGGTTTTATTCCAAAAAGCTGTGTTGTACCTGTCCATATTTTGGGGTGACTCAGAGAAACTGCTTGTCCCAGGCTAAACTTTGTCTCTGTGCCAAGAAGCGGTAGAGCATCATCTTAATCTTCTGCATGTTTAGAGTTCACAGGCATATAGAATATAGATCCCTGAGTAAGTAGCTTCATGCTCCAAGGTTAAGTCCCCTGACCTCTTTTCCAAGTGTGAATTTAAATGAGTTTGAGCATCTCCTCCCATTGTTTTTCCATTGCTGCACTGAGTCAGTGAGATGGTGCTGAGATGTCAGTGTTACACAGAATTCCCCGAAGTTGAGAGTTTTGTGATAGCTGTTCATAAGAGGATTGTGGAGCCATAAAACTAATCCAGGTCAGTTTTATTTTTTCTTCTCAAAAATGACTATTACGAGTTGTGTTAACATCTCAGTAGTTGGTTTTGTAGTACATGTGCAGTATTGTAAGAAGGATGAAATGTACTTTTCAAGCTTGCTTCTTGAGCAAAGAATTTTCACCTTCAGCTCTCTATAAAAACCTTCTGATGTGCCTTTGTTAATCCTCCCATCTTCCAGCTCATATCCCAATACCTGCTTCATCATAGTCAATCATCTCTTTGACACAGATGGATTTCCTTTAAATCTCTGGGATTAGAGCCTCTATAATTATCAATCTGCTCTAATAGGCCTTCAACACAACCCAGGTACCCTTCTGGCCTGCAGCAAAAGTCAAACCAGGGTAACCCTCAGTTTCACAGGAAGCTCTACTGATCTAGAAGTCTCTGGGGTAAAATAGTTTAACAGTTCCTCCCTTCTCCAGTGTGTAATTCTTGACTGAAATAAATTCTTTATTGTTGTTGTTATTCCCCGGTACACCCAGTTCACACCAATACAGTTTAGTGCTGTACTGGACAACCCAGAGAACCATTGGAGAACCCCACACATTGTGACTGACTTATGTATAGCAGTGTGCATCGTGACACATGCATGCTCAGGTGCAGCCCAGGGTGAGATTTGGAGCCCTTACACTCCTGTGTGTATCCATTCCCTCAGAAGGACCTAGGGCACAGAAAGCTTATGCCATTCACTTCAAAATGATTTAATTGGAAATTTTCCTCTGATGCCACCTAAAGGGAAGAGATTCTACTTTGTAAGGCCTATGCTGAAGTTTCAGATCTCCTCCTACCTGTTTTACAGGAAAGCATGTGGAGCAGCAAGACTCACAAAAAAAAAATAATATCTAAGTGTCGTGCAGGCCATGGGCAGGTACTTTTGGCTGAGCAGTGAATTGGGAACAGAATTGCAGGGGCCCAGCTGACTGACAGCAGCTAGATGGGTCTTACTGGCCATTGCTACTCTGTGGAAGTGCTAGCGTACTACAGATGTCATTCCAGTGTCATCGTCTTTATATGGAAAATGGAAGCTCCAGCATCTACTTGCGTTGTTATACATACGGGGAAGGAGCTATCTTCCCATGTGAGTCTAGGTGTTATGTGGTGCAGACAAGCTTATGGTCTTGCCTTTCCACCTGTCCTCTAGTTCTCTGAAAAAGTGAGAGGAATCTGAGCAGGAAGAGGAAGATCAGATTGTGTAATATACACTTTCATTTATTTATTTTTTTTATTCTGTGAATGCACAGCTGTAGGAGAAGATAGTCCCCTCATTGAGCTGGCATCAGGACTACGGCTGTTGGTTGAAACCACCAGCAGCCTGCCTGCTGAGAGGCACCTTGGATGGCTCATCTTGGCTCTTTGGAGGCAGCTTGCCCAACCTGCCAAGCTCTTAGGTGTCCACAAAGGCACCACGAAGTCTGTGTCATTACGGAGTGGGGAAAAACACCCTATGCATGAGATTTGGGCCATGTGCTGTATAGCCTTACTTGATGAAGTTGCTGTAGGCAAAGATTCTTACTATTTATCCTCCTGAAAGAAAAAAGGCTTAAGAAAGGAGCTGCACAGCACCTTTCTCTTCGTATGCTTTTAGCGCCCTCTTCTGTGTTTGTATTAGAAATGCAGGCAGAAATTCTAAAGTGTTCTTTTGCACCCACTGCCCCCACACTTATTTTTTAATGAAAGTATGGAAGTTATGCACATTCAACAAATGCTCTCATTGTGATTATGCTACTTAATGGGAGACCTAGTTGTTTGTTATCATCAGGAAGTAACAGGGATATGTGACCAAACCTCAAACTCTCTGTAACTTTGGAATGCTTGTCTCCAAACACTAAGATTAAAGTTAGTTAACTTAAAAGTAATTATTGTTACTGTTTGACCGAATCCTAATGTATTATTTTCTGAAAACCAGAGTGAAAAAATTTGGAAATGCAGTGCACTGTCTCTTAATTAAGCTGTGAAGCATGCAATTCCCATTTCCCAACCAAATTCCCAGCTCACACTCAAAAGGTTTTCAAAGAGTTGTCCAAACTTGTATTTGAAATCTGCTTATCAATTTAAAATATGAAGGGCATTTGATTTTCCTTCTCTTCTCCAGAAATGTGGGGGTACCTGCACCTTCTATTGACTTCATGTCCTCTAGCTTCCACAAAATTGAGAGGCTTTTCTTAGGCAGATGAAGGTTAGGTGTTGGGGATAGATATGTGGCTCCTGCACAGGGACATGGAAGAAGCCTCCACTCCTTATCCAGCCACTGAGAAGGTGGGCTTAGTGGACATTTGGCAAAATTTCTTATCTGAGACACATGTTCAAGCAAGCAAGTATGGCAGAGACTGAACTGATGACTTCATGTCACACAGTATTTTCTCCTTTGGAGTACAAGAAGTGTGGAGTAAAGGTGTTGGATTGGAAGTTGGATTGGATCAGGTCTGAACTCCATGGAAGCATATTAGTTATCTTTGGAAATGTCTGCCTACTCCATTTTTGAGCTACAGCCAACCACATTTGAAGTGACTAGAGATAAACAACTGTATAGGCAATTAAGGCATTACATGACCATTTTGGCCTGAAACATGTTCTCTGCTTCAATCTGTAGAAGGGATAAAAGTGAACTGGATAGGGGAATATTGACAAGGACAGTGTGTTTCTGGACAATAGGCATCATTTCTTACTGTCCCTCGCTCCTTTTTGGGCTTTGATACCCCATAAAAAGAAGAACTAAGTGGGTGATTATCTTTCATCCGGCAGAGGACTGCACGTAGTATCTATGCTTGACCCATACTTGACCTATAGCTGTTTTGTGTTCTCCATGACTCTGAGGTCAACAGCTTGTGGGGAAACTTTGACAGATCAGCTCTGTTAGATCTTTGCTACCAAGGGATCCTTAGGTTTCTGTGTGTGAGCAGTTTTGTGGATTAACTTCCTAGACAGACTCTTTAAGACTTGTACTGACCTTGAGAATAAGTTAGTTTGGTTAATGGGCTTGGGGTGGTCTGAGGTGATTCAAATATTATACAGTACTGTGAAACTCAGTCTCATAGTCGAGTGTCATTGTTGATTTAGATACCCTTGCAATTAACATACTTTTGCATGTAATAATTCTTCATAAATTTTGAAATAGAGATAGCAACCAATTGAACAAACCTTCCCATATTATTTTTATCCAATATTTTGGGTACACAGTTTTTGAGTATTGAAAGCTGAATTTATAAATGATGATGATTTTTTTTTTTTCCCCCAGTGGATGTTGGTAATGGTAGGTGCAAGAGGATTTTTGTTTACTTATAGTAGAATATTTTTCATCCATAGAATATCAAAATAAGAAAAAATGTGAAAGTTTTACATTAGCTTAATTCATTTGTTTTATTTTAGTGTTCTGTATGACTAATAAAATTAATATAAATTACCCCCTTATTTATGCTCCCAGATTCTCATGATGCTGTTCTAAGATTTAATTCTGCTCCAACGCGTGGCTATGAAAAAGATGTTGGAAATAAAACAACCATGCGAATCATCAACTCCCAGGTAAGAGCTTCCTTTTGTGAATTCAAGTCAGCATCTCTTCTGTACGAGATGACATTAAATTAATAACCTCTGAGAAAGTGTTGGGTAATCTGGGAAACAGCTAGTGATTTAACCGTCATGACATATAGAGCAGGTAGAAGTTCTCTCTTACAGGGATGTTTACATATGCTGTCAGTGTAGAGTGATTGCAATAGTTACTTGATATCCTTGTCTCAAAGAATTGGTTTGTAGAATTTCTCATGTGTCCTACATCTGTAAAGGCTCAGCAAGGTGCCAGAGTCAGAAGTACCAAAGACCTTTGCCACACCACCTCTGGGATCTTCACAAAGCCTGAGCTGTGGGGATTCCAAAGCTTTCTTCTTATTTTCTCCAGTTCCCCAATTATTTCCTTGCTAGAAGGAGAAAGAAATGGGAACTGAGTTGTCTTAATGTATAACTTTAGGCAAGTCATTGTTCTTTAAAAGTTTGGAGTGAAGTATTAAAAAACAAAGAAACAAAAACTTTTATGTCCATTGGATATTACACCTGGGATGAGTTTGTTCATCTGTATGGAAACAGAAAATGGGATTTTCTGCATATGAGTGTCAACAAATAAAGTATGCATTGAGCTATAGTGACACCTTATGGCTGTGAGTAGTTTTTTAATTTTGAAAAAAAATATTGCCTGAACTCTGATCTTGGCAAACAGAATTTTCATTTGCAGCTTTTCTTATGAGTTCCTTTTTTTTTTTTTCTTTTGCTTTCAGTGATGGCTTATGCAATGTCCATCCTTGGTGGGTGTATTCTCTGCATAAAATCATGTTCTTTGTCACCACATATAGAATACTTCTTGCTGCCATTCCCTTCACACTTATTTTGTAGCTCTTTGTGACAATGCAGGGCAGCCTGGATCTTTAAAATGATGTGGGTTAAATATGACTCCTGTTTTACTAACAGGAAGAAAGCCAAAATATCTGTCTTTAGTTGTGAAATCAATGTATAAGAGAACATTGATCTCAGTGCCATTTATTTTAACTTTTTTTTTTTTTTTTTTTTTTTTTCCTTCCTTAACTGTTCTTAATTTTACTTCTAGATGAAACATCCTGGTTGCTGACCACGCCTAAACTCCTATCTTGGGGCAAGGAGGAGGGTTTAGAGACCTCATTTAGTTGACTAGTCTCACTAGGCTCTCTGTAAGAAAGAGAAAAGTGCCTCCAGGCAGTGATTTGAGCTTTGTTAGCTCCTGAGTGAATTCAGAGAGACTAAACGGCTAAATTAGCTGTTTGCTGCTGCGTGGGATCCTCCTTGTTCCCAAGCTGCTGTGCCACACTCCTGCTGTGGTGGTAATGGAGGCTCATGTGATCTCTGTGCTGAATATCACTTGCTCTCCACAAAGCCTCCCCCAAAAACACAGGGTGTGACTAAAATTCAGGCCAGGTCAGCACACACAGCTTCCTCACAAATATTTGTATTCCCACCACCTTTCTGCTCCTTCAAAGAGGCTGGAAGCTGTCTGGGAGGTTCTGGCTTCTTGTTGGGAGACTGGCCTTTCCACCACCAGGAGAGAAATCTTCACAGTCACTTGATAAAAGTTGCTTGCTTTACCGTTTCTGAAGATGCATAATCCGTGCTGGCTTTCCGACCCTCCTCTCCTTACTGTAGGAAATTCCTGCATTCAGGAGATTAAAAGTCTGTTGTGTCCCTCTCCTTCCCTCATGTTCGCTGCTATGAAAGCCCAAAGGATGTGAAGGAAACCAGTGCAGCCACAACACACATTGTTATTCCAGAGGAAACTCATCTCATACATATGAATGCAGGCTCACTAAGAGCGAAATTTGTGTGGACAACACCTCTGAAGGACTCTTGCTTGCTGAAAGGCAAGTGAGAGCTCCTTTGTATGGTAACTGTAGAATTGAGCTTTTAAAAGCTTGACCTTTTGGTCTGTTTACTCTGTAGTCTCAAGAAAGGAGTTTACATTCTCAGGCAAAATCTGTTCTGAGAAATGGAGTTAGTGATGCTGATGGCAGCAAGACTAATGCTGTTCTTGTTGTAGAAAGCTGATGGAAAGTCATTAAGCTTAAAGTTTATGGTAGAAAGAATATTGCTATGGCAACAATATTATTTTTCTGAAGAAAAATATGCATAATCAAATATGGCTCATTGGATCCTAAAGGGAAATGAAAATTAGTATGAATTTATTTGTCTGGAATGTTGATTAGTTTAACAGCTGGAGCCAAATTCATGCTGTTTCAACCAGTAGTGAAATCATTTGGTCCAATCCTTCCCAAGATTGGATGCACTAGGGATCAGAGAGATCTAGTTAAGCATGGAGGGTCTGGGAAACAAGAAACCAGCAGGAGTAAAAGGGAAACCTAGGGTGGGAGGATCAGAGTACCAGTAGATGTGGGAGGGAGTTATAAGAGAGCAGAACAATTATTACTGTTACTTTAAAATAAAATAAAAGCACTATCACATGCCTGTTCCTGGAATTCTTTTTCTAGGTATACAGGCTTTTACTGTTATGGTCCAATTTGCCTTTTTGAAGGTACTTCATATGAGACCTAATGCTGTTGAAATGAGAAAACAACCAAAACAGAAGAAAAAATAAATAAATAAATAAAATGCAAAGACAAGAGCATCCTTGGGGGCCTCAGTACTTCAAAGAACGTTTCTCTGTGTCCAAAAAGAGGATTCTACAGACAGTGTGAAATACTGTAGCTTTCATTTTAATGTTCCAGAACACAAAGTAATATTGATATACAATTATGCAGCATCTCAAGTGGTCTCATCACATTGCTCGCAGATGGAGAGTAATTCAGCGTACTGGTACTTAAAACTGTCATGAGTGCTGTTTATGACTAAGCTCTTTATTTTTTTATTATTGTTGTTATTATTATTTTTTTTAACAAAAGAAGTTACTTAAAATCAATCAGAATTAAAGTAGAACAAACAGAGTGAGGAGGACTGTTCATTTTAGAGAAGGATTTTGCTATTTTTCTGGGTCCCATTTGCTTTTAACTCTGTGCAATTTTTTTACATGTGTGTTTGCAGATTCTCACCAACCCAAACCATCACTTTGTTGAAAGCTCCTTGTACAAAGATGTTATCTTAGTAGCCTGGGATCCTGCCCCCTACTCTGCAAATCTGAACGTGGTAAGATGCCTACTTGATCCCTTCTTCCCAACTTGTCTGAAAACACTGGACAAAATTCATGTATCTAGTACTTCAGTCTTCTAGTTCTCACTTATCATAATGAACTCCAAAATGTTTATCTAAAGAGCAGAGAACACTATGCATGAATCACAGAATTGGTCAAATCACATGAATTGGTCAAAAATGGTTTATTGATTAAAAACTTTTCTTAGTAGCCAGCATTTGTACTGGAATGATCTGCTCTGAGATGCTAGGATAAATGGATGATAAAGATTTTTTTTTTTGTTTGTTTGTTTGTTTTTGGATAAAAATATTGCTGTTTTCACGTAACAGTGATTTTTCTGTGTATTTGTGAAGGAGGGATGTTGCTAGATTTCAGAAGGAGGCTTTATCAAGAAAGGTGAAGAACTGCATCCTTTTTTTTTTTCTTTATTTTTTTCCCGCTTTATCAAGAAAGGTGAAGAACTGCATCCCTTTTTTTTTTCTTTTTTTTTTTTTTTTTTTCCCGCATCCTCCCCTCTGCCTTCCTAGACAAAATACAACACCCCAATGGCAATCTCTCTTTGCACCTTCCCCACTTGCCAGGCCTCCTCCCTATCAGTCTTCCCTTTGTGTCCACACCCCCACAGCCATCTGCGTCCTGCTGCTCACCCCCTCACTGAGAGCAGCAGACATCCATCTGCTTGTCACTTTGGGAGCCTCAGCCTTGGCGGGTGCTGCAGCTCCAGTGGGACCAGTTGATCTGATGGTTCTTGGCAGGGGGAGCTGGGAGCTGAGCAGGATGCAAGCAGAAAGTAAACCTTCGTCTGCTCAACTCCCTTAGCAACAGATGCCAGGAGCTGCCTGCCTCCTACACCCACTGCCTCCAGGCTGCTTCACGTGCTGCTGCCTCTGTCAGCAAAGACAAGGACACTTTCAGAGAAAGGCTCACCTCCATGCCCAGGTCCTGCATTAAGGCTTTTTGAGCCCCTTGTTTAATGTGGGCCTTTGAGTGGGAGTTGTGGTTGGCTTATCCCACTGCACTATATTGCTTATTGGGAATCTCTGAAGAAAGGAGAAAGATCTGGCCCAGATTGAGGACTGGCTTTCTAGGACAAATGTGCACCGGTGCAAGGCTGCTTTGCTTCTATTCTGAAGAACCTGAATTAAACTCATGCACATTATTTTTCATGTAGTGTTCAAAATACACTGGATAATATAGGATCAAAATAAGGTCTTTTTATTTATTTATTTATTTTTCCTCCCAGTGGTATAAGAAGCCAGACTACAATCTGTTCACTCCCTATGTACAGCATCGCAGGAAGAATCCAAACCAGCCATTTTATATTCTCCATCCAAAGTTTATATGGCAGCTCTGGGACATCATTCAGGAGAACACTAAAGAGAAGATACAGCCCAACCCTCCTTCTTCAGGTTTTATTGGTACGTGTATCAAAGATGGGTCCAGTAGACATGTTAGATATTAAAATAAATAAATACGTAGACTGCATGAGGATCATATCCGTACACGTGTTGTTTGTTCTTGCTGTTCTGTACAGGAACAATGACTAGCCAAAAAGCGCACTATGAACATTTATATAATCGGTGGATGAAATTAATGTCCTTTCTTGCTCTTCACATCCATACTATATATACCACATTTCTAAAATACATACATCTGTGAGAAAATTGTATTATATTCATCTCTCTATTGATATTAATTTCTATGTTAATATATAAATTGTTTCAAATTTAATTTCTCTAGTGATAACCTACTCAGTTCTGAAGTTCTTTGTTGTCTTTTTAGCGTAGAGATGCACCAGACCAAAGCATACAGCAGATAATACAGTGAGGACGAAATCACTGATGACGTCTGACAGGCTAGACTGTATTCCTTCCACAGGTCAAGGAATGGGATTTCCCATGCCCTGTCACAGATTCCAGTGCTCAGTCTAAAAGTGGCCAGAGCATCCCCTTTTTTCTTAAACTCAAAGAGACAGAATTTTACCATAGTTTTTTATCCTTTCTTAGTATTTCTTTGGGGATAATTTGACACTAAGGCCACAGTTCATACAGCATAACATCATACTTATATACACATGCATTATCTGGCACATAACAGGTCTTTATTGTGAATGTTGAAAGGGTACATACAAGTAGAGTAGTAAGACTGAGTCAAAGGTCTTTCTTACTGATACACCTGGAGGCACAGAGAGCAATAGAGTACAAAATACCCTCTTCCACATGGAAACTCATTCTTTCCTACTTGACATTGTGATAGTGGTATATGTATTTGCTGCAGTTAGAAGATGCTCTTGTCATTCTTTTCATATGAATCTGAAAGCATTGAGACCTTAGACTGCATCAACTATGGGGGGGGGGGAAGTTCTGAGCACTTATTTTGGGCTTTGTATGCAGTAGTAGTATCACATGATTTTGTGGAGCTCACCCAGGGCCTTAGAGTAGATGCTGAGACTCTGACAGGGATGTCATAAAGGTGTCTGGGATATGCCCATTGATGAGTGGGTTGCGCTTATCTGGAGCATGAGTGGAAAGAATATGTGGCCTGTGTTGGGGGAGCATGGCTTGGCAGTTGGTTATTTCTTGCAGTGAGATTTTTGGAGCCTGCATGTAAAAATTCATAAAGAGAAGTCTGCTTATGTGGAATGATCTCACCAGCAGCATTCACATTTTGCAAAAGCAATTCTTAGAGTAACAAAGTTGTTGATAAAAATAGGATAACAGCTGCTGATCATAAGAATAGTGAAGAGGATTATTGTGCTGTCAATCTGCACTTCCACCATATATAAGAAACACTTCAAAAGCTTTCTTTGAAATCACATGAGTTAATTTCACCGTAAAAGTAGATTAGTAATCTTTAACCCCAAATCTAAATGTTCTTGACTAAAGATATCTTCCAAGCAGAGGATGCTTTGAAAATACTAATCAGTAAAGAAGCAAAAACATTGGCAACAAAAGCTGTACAGGTAAATATACTCTGTATGTGAAGATACGGATTTGTCTATTCACCTTTTATACTTGTATAAATTATTTATTATATGTAAATATAATCATATTGTTATTTTGTAAAGAAGATGCTTAGGCATTTTGCCAATGCTATTATTAGTGTCGAGATAAGTCAGTTAGACAAACTTACTGGGAGTCATATCCACCTCATTTGATAACTAGCTACTGTTCTGATGGAAGTATTTTAAATATTTTGTTAGAAACAGGCTCCCTATGTTAGTAACCTTATTAAATGTATGTCTATGAGTTGCACGTGTGATGTAATATAAACTGGGAAACAGCACTGAAACTGCAACTTTGTGTTGTCAAAGAGCAAGGTAAAGCATAAAAATATAATGCAGCTTGGCAGAAATCTGAAAAGTCATGTTGGTCTTCAGATCAGGTATCTCTCAACAACTCATGCAGCAAATAACCAGTTGGAACTGAAGCTGGCAGACACAGCCAAGTGCACCTGCATGAAAGACATATATTGAATATCGAGCTTCTCTCTGATTATTATAAAATCTATAAAATTATCTTCTATAAAATTAAGGAATGGATAAGTGATGGCCATCATAAAATGAGTATCTTAATTTCAACAAGATATGGGAAAATGGTTTACTGAATGTCCATTCTGTTAAAATGGTGGAGTGTTGTGAGTAGTGTATGCATTTTCACAGACAGAGGGACCTGTATCTTTGAATCTAAGCTGTTTATAGCAAGGACAACAGTGATTCCATTCACTTTATTGGAATAACTTATTGTATGTCGGTGTGTAATTCTCTGCAATTAGCATGAATATAAATTCTATACAGGGATATGGTTTGTCATCCATACTTGCCCTGGTGGAAAGTCAGGCAGCACATAGCTCTCCATGTGTTGCTGTTACTTGTGGAGAAAGAGCAGCAGCTCTTCAAACCACTGTTGGTGCCAGTAACGTGGAAAAGGTTTAAAAAAAAAAAAAAAAAAGGGGTGGGGGGGTTCTGGGTCAACTTTTGTTTCAGGCTTTTTAGCCCTCTTTAGTACATGGAAACATCAGCATATTTCCTTTCAGGAATATTTTAGGGTGGTCTTAGAGTATTTCTTCAGTTATTACGTTTTTCATTTGAAATTTGTATCCATTTCTGCTGCTTAGCACTGTTTATAAAAACTAAGTCTTTCCAAAGGAAGGATTTTCAGGTGGAATGTGTTTTCATGGTGTCTTTCTGCAGCAGAGTCACCATCTTTCAGTAGTGACCAATGCCAAGGGAATCTTTTAATACTGTTAATAGCTATGTTAATGTGTTTAAGTCACAATATTATTACGACTTCTTGAAAATGGGCCAGTGGTTCATCTGTGGGGAAGAGGTAGTCTTGTGACTTTAGGGGAATGAGAGAGTGGGAAGAAGCAAGACCTTCTGGTTTCTCCACCACGTGGGAGCTATAGAGGGCATGTTTTGTGCTTCCTTTGGGGAATGGGATGCCCTATCTCAATCACAGCAAAGGAGATTGTGTCTCCTGGAGACACAGACTCCCCAAAACCCCATCTGCATTAGCTCAGTGCCAGCATGTTGTGGGAAACACGGCAGGCATCCCAGCTGTAGAGGAGCGGAGAGAAGAGGATGGCAAGGGAAGTATGGTTAGCAGCAGCGTTAGATGTGTTCTACATGTGCCACATAAAATAAGGCGTAAGTCTAGAATGCTCTAGTTATATCACATTTTATGTACATTCACCTATAGCTTTAAATCTTACTATAATTTACATATGTCACTGCTTCCAGCCACTTCTGAAATGCTAACATACAGAGGTCTAAAATCAGTTGAGATGAGTACTATCCAACTCACATCAGCTTCATCCAGAATTTCTGTTTCTCTGCCATCAGGCTCCAGCATGTAGATGTTCCTGTTTTCAGGTTTCTTGTAAGCAAGATGTCAGCTTGGAGCAACCCATCCATCACAGATGCCATTTTGTGCCGTAACAGTGCTACATACAAACCCATATCTGACTGCAGTCTTTTCCACTAAATTTGTTATTATTTTAACATTATTTTCTGTCCTGCTTAATAACAGGTATAAGATCAAGACATCATTTAAAACAAGATGAACACATTATCTGTAAAACTGTGAGCAGAAAATAGTGACCAGTTTGTTAAGTGCTCCTTTTAGGGGTATACCATCTCTGTGAAGGATGAATTTGGCACAGACAAGTCACCCTTCAGTCTCAGTCTGGTATTTCCTAGGGCTATGAATAAGGACCAAAAACAGAGTGTTATGTTTTTTTGTTTTTGTTTTTGTTTTTTTTAATGGGCAAAGTTCCAGTTGGAGGCCAGTCACTAGTGGCGTCCCCCAGGGCTCGGTGCTGGGGCCAGTCCTCTTTAACATCTTCATCAATGATCTGGATGACGGCACTGAGTGCACCCTCAGTAAGTTTGCAGATGACACCAAGCTAGGTGCGTGTGTCGATCTGCTCGAGGGTAGGAAGGCTCTGCAGGAGGATCTGGATAGGCTGCACCGATGGGCTGAGGTCAACTGTATGAAATTCAACAAGGCCAAGTGCCGGGTCCTGCACCTGGGGCGCAATAACCCCAAGCAGAACTACAGGCTGGGAGAGGAATGGTTGGAGAGCTGCCAGGCAGAGAAGGACCTGGGAGTGATGGTGGACAGTCGGCTGAATATGAGCCAGCAGTGTGCTCAGGTGGCCAAGAAGGCCAACGGCATCCTGGCTTGTATCAGAAACACTGTGACCAGCAGGGCTAGGGAGGTGATCGTCCCCCTGTACTCGGCTCTGGTGAGGCCGCACCTCAAGTACTTTGTTCAGTTTTGGGCCCCTCGCTACAAGAAGGACATCGAGGTGCTTGAGCGGGTCCAAAGAAGGGCGACGAAGCTGGTGAGGGGCCTGGAGAGCAAGTCCTATGAGGAGCGGCTGAAGGAGCTGGGCTTGTTCAGCCTAGAGAAGAGGAGGCTCAGGGGTGACCTTATTGCTCTGTATAAGTACATTGAAGGAGGCTGTAGCGAGGTGGGGGTTGGCCTGTTCTCCCATGTGCCTAGTGACAGGACGAGGGGGAATGGGCTAAAGTTACGCCAGGGGAGTTTTAGGTTAGATGTTAGGAAGAATTTCTTTACTGAAAGGGTTGTTAGGCACTGGAACGGGCTGCCCAGGGAGGTGGTGGAGTCACCATCCCTGGAAGTCTTCAAAAGACGTTTAGATGTAGAGCTTAGGGATATGGTTTAGTGGGGACTGTTAGTGTTAGGTTAGAGGTTGGACTCGATGATCTTGAGGTCTCTTCCAATCTAGAAATTCTGTGATTCTGTGTGATTCACCGGGGTAAACCTGTCTTTTATTTTAATCTGGGAGTGTTTTTTGGCTCATTTTCTGAGACACTGCTGAGTACTTTGCTTGGCTTGTAACTTTGCCATATGTGGTGTGCCACTTAGCTAATGTCATTCCTCATTATAAA